AGACCTGATTCAGAACATAGAGAATGGCTTGACTGCAAAATTGTACAGTGATACAACCTATATGGAATTTGTTTCTTGGGCCCCATTTGCCACTTGGCAGAACTTGGAAGAAACTGCTCTCTACCAGCTACAGTGATGTATAGGTTCCTACCATCATTGACATGTGGTTTGGAAATCGAAGTGTTTTTTTTTCTCCTTGAAAGGACATGGCCAGCAATCTGTGAATCCACTTCAAAGAAAACAGTCAATGGATACTGTTAARTTCTTTGGAGAAAATAAGAAACCTGTCCAACCTCAATCTGTGGCAGCTGGAGATCTATTTCAMTCAAGAAACTGGGAGATCTATCTAGATTGATTCAACATCAAAATCAATGTGTTCTGGATGCTTTTTCTCCTTCAACTTCCCTTGCTGCCTGCAAGAAGGAACTGAGAAAATGAAGTGCTCGCAAGTAAGTGGATGAGCAGCCCTTCAAARGGACTAATGCTTGGGGGTCCCCAGCGTGCAGGGGATGACTCAGGGGAAGTGGAGAAAAGCCAGTGGGCACAGGGGATTAACTTGGAGGGTCTGACCTGCAGGGTTCAGGTTCACACAAGGCTCTCTTGGTTTTGGGTGGAGGTTAAAAACATCCCTTTCACTTTCCTTTTCTTTCAATCAAGGATTGTCAATGGGAAAACAAAACTAACTTAACAAAAAGGAAGCTCTTTCACRGGGGTTGAGTTCCTGGGAACAGCATCCTCCAGATCTTGTACTTTATGCTCTAAACTGGTGCCTGCAGGCAGTTCACCTTCAGATATATCCACAGACACAGYGCGCTGTCAGGTTTTAGTGCTACAAGATCAAATGTAGCCTGTGGTATTGCACGRACTTACAAATTAGTTCCTCTATGAAATGAAACTCAACTGGATACAGAAAATTAAAGTGAATCCCTAATCGTCATCATCAGTCATCCAGCTAAAGATGGAACCTTGGAACTAGGGGAGGATAAATACCGAACACTAGGAGCCCTGGAGAAACTAATCACTTCAATGACTCCTGGTTGGAATTCATCTGACTTTAAAATACCTCAATGCTTCTTGGCATGTCCTGAATGAAAAACCAGGGCACATGTTCCATGGGGCCTCTGGGCTTGTTCCCTAGAAGTGGGGCCTGACCAATCTTTCTGTTAGGTTCAACTCACTGGATCTACTTAACTTCAGTTTTACATATTTTTACATATAAAATGTGGTGARGTAGCTGGATATACTGTGGGGGAAAAGCCACGGTTTGTCAAACGGAGAGTTCTGTTCTTATAGGTTCCCTTGCAATTGCTCACCTCCAGAGATTCCTCCTTTGTTCATAGGTGAGCTCCAGGGCAAGGTCTTCCACATGAGTATTAGGATAAATCTAATTGATATGGCTACTCCCCTTAGGAGACTCTGATGAGTAGGTGGCCAGAGTAGCATAGTTAAAGACYCACTCTCCAGACCTCTACCCAACCCAGTGAGAGACCCAACTTTTACCCTAGGGCACGCCCTAAAGCAAGACAGGAAAGTGAGGCTGTTTTGAATGACAGACCTAAGGACTGAAGATGACTTGCTGATCTGAGATACAGACTGGGAAGCAGAACTGAGATGTGTCATGCCAACTAAAGATAAGATGATTAAAATTACAGAGGAGAAAAGATGCCAGAGAGTAGATGTTTTMTTTTTGTTCCCATTTTAAAAATTCTAGTAGCTCCTCCTTCCAAGCAAGGTAAGGTAGTTCCTAAATTTTGAGAGTTTCTCCCTGCTGTCAGGCATCTTGTTAGAGGCTGGCTGCAAATCAAAAGGCATCTCAATTTTCCCACCATATGCTATCTTATAAGGAGATAGCACTGTCTATGTCTAATGCTGTGGAATTTATTCAAAACCAACAAACATTGGTTATTGCTAAGCACAGTTCAGGCGTTGTGCTGGGAAGGCACATAAAAAAGATAAGAAAACAGTTTTTGACTTCTAGGAGCTTCCAGTTTAGCRGGATTGACACATGTAAACCTGGTAAATGCAATGACACAGATGAGCATCCTCGGGGTGCTTTGCAGACAGAATCTAACTCAACTATGTTAAAGGAGACCCCTGTAGGGAGAAGGCAGGCTGTGTGTGAACAGTCTTGAAGGGTGAGGCAGAGACAGCCAGGTGAAAGGGAACCAAAGGGGTCTGAGGCATTGGAAACTACAGAAAGACTGAAAAAAGAAATGATGCAATGTGACGCACTAGGACTAGTACCTGTAGTTTACTACGGGAAGAAAATAAATAGAAGGCAGGGAATGGACTAAGAAGGACTCTAGTCACCTTTGGCTTGCAATGTCATTCTTGGAATCCTGTATCTTTTCTTCTGGGAGAGGGAGAGGACTTGATTTTTAGCACAAAAGTGATGCTGAAGTATATACACATTTTAAGTCTCTCTAGCTGTAGTCAGGCAGATGTTTGGGGGATATAAGCTTCAACACGACAGGTAATCAGGAGAGTGCTGAAAAGGCCCAGGTGTGAGATGGTAAGAAGTTAAACTTGGCAGTTATAGGAGGAATGGAGCGAGCAGATAGATTCTAGAAACAGGAAAAACAAAACAAACTGTAAGGATTTGAATGATTGTGTGTGAGAGATGACACAGGTGGCTGGGGGGAATCCAGTCCTGGATTTTCAGCTGGAGTATMTGGGTGGATATTGATTCCACTAACTTTAATGGGAGAGGGCACTGGTCTGGTTTTGGAGAGAATCAACCTAAGGTGACTGAGGCCAGGCAGCCTGATTCTCAGGAGAAAAGTTAGGACAAGAGATGAGTATCTGAGAGTCTCTTACGATAAACAGTAACCAAAAACTTTAGACTAGATACACTCTGTCAGCCAAAAATGAAATTCAGGGGAACACCAACAATTAAGAGCAGATAAAAGAAACAAAGAGTTCACAAAGGAGAAAGAGTACAAGATGGGAAGAAAAGAGAGATCAGTGAAACAAAAGGCAAGGGACAGCACATTTCAAAGTTCATGCAACAGATAAGACACTCAGCATAGAAGAAGCCAGGAAAGTCCCCAAGTTTGATAATCACAAAGTAAATATTAGGGGTTGCATTGTGTTGTCCCTCTGATCCCACCCAAAACAAAACAAAACAACAACAACAACAACAACAAAACAAACATTAGAGTCCTAACCCCCTAATGCTTCATACTTCACAATGTGACCTCCTTTTCAAAGTTACAATGAGGTCATTAGTTAGGTTGGGCCTTAGTCCAAGCATGGCTGGTGTTCTGGGAAGAAGGGGAAGTTTGAATCCAGAGGCAGACACACTCAGAGGGAAGCAAAYGCTGTGAGGTCACCAAGTATGAGTCAAGGAGAGAGGCCTGGAATGGATTGTTCCCCTGAAGGCTTCAGGAGGAATCAACCCTGCATACCCTGACCTTGAATTTCTGGTCTTCAGGACTCTGATACACTAAATTTCGGTTGTTTAAGCCACTCAATTTATGGTGTTTTGTTGTGGTTGTCCTAGCAAACAAATATAGTAAGTTTATCAACAAGAATTTCAATTACAAGCTTAAGGGGAAGACTGGAGAGAGCCGAGGTGTGAATAGGACGTGAGGAAGTGAAGACCACACTTCAAAAACGCTTACACGAGAATGAGTGAGAGRGGAGCACTGCTTATTTTTAGTTTGAAGATCACAGACTTGAGCGATTTCAAACACAAATGGATATCCTTTTCCAGAAAATTCCTGGCATAAAGTAGTTCGCGCATACGTTCACTGAACTCTGTGATGTTAAAAACGTCTATTGTAGTCATGCTCACAATTTTTTTTTTGTTTCTGGTATTGTTTGTGAATTTTCTCCCACTTTCTCACTGCTTCGTCTTACCAGAGATCTGCTATTTTATTAATAAAAAAAAATAAAAATTTTTGTTAGAAAATAAGTATTACAAGTAAAATACAGAGATGGTAATTATAGAACAGAGAGGCAATGAGAGGCAGAGCAAGGCCCTGATGGAACAGGATCCCAAAGACAGCTCTGAAACCTTTGTCCTTAGGACCTTGAGGAAGGAGAGGAGAAAGAGTGGGTGTAGGTGTGGATCCCTATATTGAAAAGATGTAGTAAGCTGATGATCTCAATGCTATTCACCGGCCTAGAGCTAGCTAGGGGACTGTACAGGTTGGTGAAAAGGGAGAAATACTGCTGGGAGAGGTGGAGGGAAGCCAAGTAGGGACCAGTGGTACTGAGGGTCTGGTTCAAATGAAGATGTGTCAACTGCCATGGTGTCAATCCTTAGTTGCCCAGGTGTAACAGGATCAGCAGAGTGGATTATTGCAAGATCAATGCCAGTTCATGGTTCTTCCAAGCAGATGTGACCAAGGGTTGCTGTACAAGAAATCTGAGGATRTCACTAAAGAAATGGTTTTAGTGCTCAGAAGTGGAGACCGGATCTTGTAGGGATGAGAAATGGGTAAAGAGAAACCCATAACAACAGTGAAAATGAAAGGGTGTCTTTGTATTTCAGATCAGGTGTCCTGAGAGTGAGACTGAGTGACACTGAATGGGATGTTGGCTAGAAAAGTTCCTGAGTGTAGTGTTCTTGATAAGGACAACAAAGAGCAGAACAACAGAGGGAACGGGCTAATGTGGAATGGACAYAGACTGTGGGGACTGAAGTCCAGGCACTGCTGGGGTGGGAAGGTGTCACGCTCCTCAAAGGACATATCCTAAGGGTGGAAAGTCTAATAAGGATGGCCATCCGGTAGAATGAAAGGGGGCTGGTGCATCAGAGGGTTGGATTTTGCAATGCTTTACGAGTCAGACAGCTCCTTACCTCTGGGTCCACTTCAGTTAACACTTGGACAACCCGTGCCCAGCAAAAGCTGAATTTTTGAGTCTTATTTGTTGATATAGATATAAATTTTAAAAAGCAAAATGAGAGTTGTTGTTCTTACTATAAGAAGCATCGTGCACTAAAGTTATACATATTACATAAATGACTACTGATAAAATTTTGGAGAACATACCAGAAACTCCTGGTGGTGTCTTGATGAATTTTCCATTAAAATGACCAATTACAGCTTCGCATTTTTCTGTAGATTCCATCCTATTTATGAAAACAAAGTTCATAAGTATGTAGCAGTCTCTTAGTTTTCATTTTGTTTTGTGCATGCACAAACATTCTTTTAGGCTTTTTGGATACAAATGAAATGAGGCAAAAATATATGTATATAATAGTTTACTTTTATCTGTTGCTTTTACAGTTCTCCARATAAATAACTGATACTAGAGTATGTTCTAAATCATATAAGAAAGAGATTATATTGAGTGTTTAATATCAAATATATAAATTCATTCTGATTGTTGAAAAATTGAGAAAAGCAATGYATAAAAGCTTTCTTAGTCATGATATTGAGTTAAAAGCAACAGTTTAAAATACTAGTATATTTGCTACTTGTTAGAATATTGGTTATTTTAAACATGATCTTCCCTTTTAAGTATTMATGAAATGACAGACTAAAGAGTTGTGATAATAGCTAGTGTCAATCAGAGGATGTGTCTCACATGACTTTTACATTTGCTCCAGGTTTAAAATTAAATTAGTGAAGTCAATTATATACTTCTTTGTCATCTTGGCTTTGGAGGAGTTAATTAAAGGCTGAAGCCTAACTTCATAACTTGTTTTATATCTACAGATGGCTAAAAACATTTGAGAAACATTTCTAGGTATTTAAATTACTTTGATTTATATTTCTTCAATAGAAGAAACACAGAATAATCCACTTAAAATACACCATATTCCTGAACTACCCAGAGAATTACACCTCAGTTCTAATGGATAGTGACAATGTGAAAAACAGCAGCATTTAACTGGGCTCAGTCTTTGGATAGGTACCCCTGATTTGCTTTCAGAAGAACATCCACGGAGGTGAGGAGATGTTGTCGAGCCAATTGGTGTCCCACCCAGATCACCAATGAAGTGTGCACTTGAGATGCTGGCCCCGGTGACTTACTATTTACTGATATATTAGCTTTATTATAAAATTGTCTGGCCTAACAGAACAATGGACTAAAAGCCAGAAGAACTAATTAATGGCCCTTGCCCGCTAGTGGRTGATGGAAAAGTCCCTCTGTGCCTCAGTTTTCTCATATATAAAGTAATATGTAATAATAATGCTTTATTCATAACACAGGTCTGTGGCAGGATGTGACTGTCTTGTATATGAAAGTAAAATGTCAGCATTTTTTTCTTCCAAAGTCTAAGTTAACAATTTAAAACACATAGATATTGTTATTGCAGAAGACTAACAAGTTCCTAAATAATGTATCATGTAAAATCAGCTTTTTTTTTTTTTTTAATGGGCTTTAGGATTAGAATTTCTCTGGAAATCAAAGCTCTTTCTGTTTTATACATTTTCTCTAGAAACCAAATTAATGATTACACTAAAGTATCCTTTCTGGGGAGGAAGAGATAAAATGGAGGAATAAGATACTTTAGTTATATCTGGAGCACTTATTTCTTAAAAAACTAAAGTGAGAATTATAAGATATTTAAATTTATGTGGTAGTTAGGTGTTAAATCCTTTTCTTTCATGAATGTTTGAAAAATCTAATTAACTCACTTTATTGATGATGAATCACATTTCTGTCTAAAGAGGAAAAAAACATACTGATTTATCTATGAAATTTAGGAGACTGGTTGTCATTTTAAAGAAATTTAATTTCCTAAGAATTAATTTAATCAGAACATAAGACACAAACACTTTCAGAATTATTGCTCATATAATACTTCTTTGCCTTGAGCCAGCAAATATGTGTGCTCGGTTTCAAGAATACTAATGAAATTCCAAAAGATTTTTAAAAAATTACATGTAAATTTACAGCCCATAAGCCTGGCTTAAATTTGCTTGATTATTTTTTTTTCTTAATTTGTAGGATAACTCAACAGAGCTTCTGCTGGTGTAATAAAGGGAGGGCTGCATGCTTACCTAGCAAAGCCAACACCGCGACTTGTACCACTGGAATCACGTAGTATCCTTGTAGAAATAACTTGTCCGAAGGGTTTGAGCATATTTTCAAGTTCTTGCTCATCCATKGACAGGGGCAAATTAGAAATATACAGGTTGGTAGGATCCTGTTCCTGTTGCTAAAGGAGAACAGAGAATTGTCTATCAATTTCTAGGAGAAGGAGAGATATTTATGTTAACATATCTAATTGTATGTAGGCACCCTCTTTGCTCACATCCTTTTAAAGTATTATCTAATGAAACCATGGGATCCATGGAACACTAACATCATCTTGGACACTTGAAAACAGTGTCCACACTTTGGACAGTGTGTACAGGTCTGACCTAGTTCYCAGAGCCCTTCTCGGCAGAGGTGGAAGTGGCATCATGTTGGAAAGGGTGATGCTGAGTTGGAGAGGGTGCCCTTCAGAAACCACAGCTCTCAGCTATTTTCAGTGTTTCCAAAAATAACCAACCTCTCTTCCATTGCTATTTTTAGGAGTTCATTTCAGGCACAAGCAGGAGGCTATTACTGCTAATAATTCAATTTAGAGATACATGAGAACGATTTCTGGATCAAGTCACGTGGATTCCAGTATAGGCTTTCCCCAATCTGCCCTACGGCAAAGTCCATATGACTTTCAAGTAGTGATCAGCAATGGAAAAAGAAGAGCTCCTAACTTAATCCAAAAGAGAAACTCAAAGCCATATAAAATGGTAAACTCTGGGCAGGTCAAATTTTAGAATCTTATAAAAGCTGAACTCAAGAGTAGATGGAGAGAGAAGGTGTGCTAACTCTGTGCTATACAAAGAATGATCCAGGGATCAGCAATACTATTAGGAATTATCTGGGAGCTATTCAAAATGCAGAGTCTCAGGCCCTACCTCAGACCTGCAGAATCAAAAGCTGCATTTTAACAAGATACTCAAGTGACTCACTCATAAGCATATGAAAACCTGAGAAGCAGTACTCTTAGATAATTTTCCATCCGACTTTCCTTTGTTGGGGGTAGAATCAGCTAGAATCAGATATGATTGCCAGTAAATGCAACGTTATGAGGAGTAGGGTATGTCAATCACCAGGAAAAAAGTTTACCTGACAACTAGAATATTTTCTGACCAGATCAAAATTCACTTCTGCAAATACGAGATTAGTGTAACCTTAATTAGCCTTTCCTTTGATCTTATTAACCAATTGTATCTTTATGTATTGAAGCATAGGACAGCTTATAATTTTTCTTTAATAAGCACTATTAATAAAGTCATTAATTTGTAGATTAGCCTTTGGAAATGAAATGGCATACCCATTATAGCTTTCTAGATTTTTGAAATGCACAGTACTTTAAAAATATGTGAAGCACTATGCATGTTTGAATTTKTATAAAGTCTTTTCAAAGTATACCAGCATTAATTAATCCTGAAATGAAAATCTTCCTTTTCTATAATTCACAAGTAAAAAGTGAACTTTTGTGCTATACTTACAGGGTAAGATTTAAAATAAATCAGGGGCTGAGTTATAGCTTAGGGATAGAGCTGTTGCCTAGCATGCCTGAGACCCTGGGGTTCAATTCCTAGCCCAGCAAAAGTCAATCATCAGTCACTTGATCTGGTACCTAGGTAAATGCCCTGGTATTTCCAAGAACTAAAGTTATCAAAGATTACAACTATGACCAATAAGTACTGTTCTTACAACTGCCTGTTACCAAGGAAGGCAGTGTAAGCAGGCCATGTGGGGCCAAGAAAAAGTTAAAAAACTATTAAATGCTCAATAGCAAACAGAACACTCACCATCTTGAACTATTCACAGGCTAAATAAAATGGCAACCGTCTTTTTGGTTTTTGGATGAGTTCAGGGTGGTACTATTGATTATCTTACGTTGAGCAAAATCTATTGTCTACTATAAAAAGTATATCTTTAATGTCTTCAAATTTGAAAACTGATTTATTTAATAGATATAGGACAATAATATATACAGTGTTCCAAAACAGGGAAAAAAATCAATAAAAATGGTTTTAGGTACTAACGTTTTCCAATGTAGACCTCTACCAACCCAGTAAACTGTCCAGTTCCTCTATTAGCCATCTCCCTTTGGCCTTAGTCTCCCCTAACTTTCTGAGGCTTTCCTGGAGTGCCAGTGAGTATTTGTTGGTATAGAAATCTGGCCCTGCACCAACCAGCACAGAGTTCTTGGTCTTTAGGGTGGGTCTTGAGAGAACCTGTGGCTTCAATGAGCTCAAGGACATTTCCTGTGCCCTTCACACTTCACAGACTCTCACTATAAAATAACTATGACCTAGTCCTGCTTTTCACAGCTTCCCATTAAACAGGGGAGATGGAAACACGTAGTGAAGGCTAGATGTGTGCAAGTCAAGATGTGTGCAAGTCAAGATGGGAGGACAGTGGTGCTGAGGGACACTTTGTTGAGAGGAAAGGGGAATTGAGGAACAAGAAGAAGGCAAGAGGTTGAAACCAACTGTGAAAGGCTATCTAAGAGTTTGGTTTTATTGTATCAACCCTTGCTGCTTAGACTTTCCCACATAAGGAATGCTAAGGGCAAGGAGAATGTGTATCCAGAAGAGTCCATGAGCAAAAGCCAAAGCAGCCTTGCCAGAGCTGGAAAATTTCCTTGAAATCCTGTGCTTTATCTTAATATTGCTTTTTTACTTTTTTTTTCTTAACAATTTGAGCTTTAACAGAGAAAAAATATTTCTGATCTAATATCATGGAGTAACACTGACACTTCAGTAAGATAAACCATGTTTCTCTTATCTTTCACTTTTCTGGAAGGTAAGGAGTAGTAGGAGGAAGGACAAACTGTAGTTTGAAACTAGTGGGGGTAGAGAGAGAAGAGGGGAGGGGAGYGGAGGGGAGGGGGGATAGTAGAGGATAGGAAAGGCAGCAGAATACAACAGACACTATCATGGCAATATGTAAATCAATGGAAGTGTAACTGATGTGATTCTGCAATCTRTATACGGGGTAAAAATGGGAGTTCATAACCCACTTGAATCAAAGTGTGAAATATGATATGTCAAGAACTATGTAATGTTTTGAACAACCAACAATAAAAAAAAAAAGAGAAATTGGGAGGCTTTGGAGACACAGAGCAGGGGAATTAGAGAACCAACATACCTTAGATTTTTGAATCATGTTTAGTCAGATTCAGAAGCAAGTGGAAAACTCCTTAATCAAAGGGCAAAATACTCTTTATACAAAAATATAGTATTTTAAAAATGTTACTTACAAAATTATGTGTATGTGTATTATAGACTTTCTTTTTAAAATTATAATCATGAAGATCTCTCAATGACTAATGTTTAAGAGTTCTCATAGGAGAATTTGTTATAAATGAAGTAATTTTTAGAGTGAGGCTACAACGTAGATACTAAGTACTTCCCAAACCTGTGTTTTAGTTTCTTGCATCTATGAAGTTAGTAATAAAAATATTTCACATTCTACAAAGCCTTGATTCAAATGGGAAGTTTATCAACGAAGAAAAAAATTGCTTAGAATCATAATCCAGAAAGAAATTGGACTTTTAGTTCTTTCTTGGATATAGTGAAAGAGAGTGATCTAAATAGATGTAAATATTCCCTATGACTTTTTTTTTGTGTGTGTTTGTTTTCAACAGCAACAATTCTTGTTTAGGTTTCTTCATTTGGGATGACCGTTAGTGCTAATATTACTTATATTTCTTTTTCAATACTACCCATTATGTTAGAGTAATTTTAAAGTTAAAAAACAAACTAACCACCAAAGAATGGGGAGAAACTCCAAGAGGCAGTTCAAGCCACAAAAATATCTAATCCCAAAGTGTCTGTGTGTTCTTTACCATACATTCATTGTGAATGGAACATATAATATTTTCAGTCACTGGTGTTGTTTTGCACACTGAGGATAATTTAGTCTCCCTAAAATCGGCAACAACCATAACACTGTTGTATTATGTCTGAATAATAAGTTGCTATGTCTGAAAAATAAATGTATTCTGTCAATTATAGGTGGCTAAACAAAAGTGGCACCAACGGCCTCTTTATGTCCCTAGACACGGAAAAGATTCAAGGGCCTCTCTAACAAGTGGAAAACTAGATCCCACATCAGCCATGAGAGGGATAAATGGGTACTAATGTTCACTTGAGTAGAAAAGCGGGRCTTGGAGGTCCCACATGGTGTAAAGCACTCAGTCATCATCTGAAAGAAATTAACAAAAACCTCCCTGTGCGTGTGGAATGGTTCCTAAAATGCAAGAAAGGGACTTGGCAGGAAGAGCAGACATCTGTTTTCTCTTGTACTGAATACCAACCAGCAGATAGCCACTCACGGGCATGTGACTGCAAACTGCTTGGAGCATGGTGGACTAGGGGTGTTGTGARGACTAAATTCCTGCTCAGTGACCACCCATTTATTGAGAAAAATGTGCAAGCTTCCCATCAGCCAAGGAGCACCCAATGATCTRCTGACCTCCAGCAGGCCTCAGAAGGTACCAAAGGTTTAGAGAAGTCACATTGTTAACAGGTATCATTGACGTTTATTCACATTTTACATCTTAGTTCCCAAGTTAAACATAAATAGACTTTCCAAAACGCCCAAGGCCATTTCTATTTGAAACGTTTCATCAGGGTACTCCATGAATATAATTTTTAAATGTCCCTTTCCCCCTTTAACTTTTTGGACTGGGGATTGATCCCAGAGGTGCTTTATATCTAAGCTACATCCCTAGGCCTTTTTAAACTTTTATTTTGAGACAAGGTCTTGCTAAGTTGCTGAGGATGGCATCGAATTTGCCATGGCATCGAATTTGCCATCCTCCTGTCTCCCCAATTGTGGGGATAACAGGCAAGAACCACCGCACCTAGCTAAAATCTCTCTCTTAATTCTCAATAACTGCCTAGGCTCAGAAGGAAGTTTTTTCCCCTCTCACTTAAATGATTTTTTTGATTATTAACAAAACAAAAATAATATTACCACGTGGCAAAGACCAAGCAAGCCATCGAAAATACATGAATAATTAAAAAAATCCCTGGTCTCTAATGTTTCAATTTGCAGTTTTGAACATCTGTGGGATCCTTTCTGAACTCAATCAACATGCCAAACATTGCATTTCCCCTTCTCTCACCAAAATGGCCCTTATTTTTTTCTGATTATGTTTAACATATGGATTTTCAACATATAGGTGTATCCTGATTCRTCCACTAAAGGAAAGTGGACAGTGACAGGCCTTTGTCACTCAAGCACAGGAGCCAGATTAACTTCCTTTAAAAATCCTCTCCCCAAAAGATGCAYGCCAAAGACTCCTTTATCAAGACAGAACAAAGAGGCTAAGCCAAACTTGGACTCGCAAAACCCTTGAATTTATGGTACAGAACAAGAGATCTGCTAGCATTATAAAATACATTTTTTAAACTATAAAGATATAGTAAAAAAGAATTTAGATCAAAGAAACTCAGTCATTCTACAGGGACCTGAAGAAATTCATACTATGGAAAATGTTGGCACATGGCCAGCATCTCTAATCCTGCACAATGGTCTTCCCCACAGATGATGGAGGAAGGGATCATTTCTCCTAGCCAATTTACAGTATAAAGCCTACCAAGGAGGTCTTTGAACAGAGTTCATTATCAACCCATGGGGAAGCTGGCATTCAAAGTGCACCATGGATATGACATGTAGTACCAAATCTACACCCAGTCCTATGTTGACTAAAAACATTGTAAAGAATTTTTCAAAATAGTATATATTTAATATAATATGCTGCTTAATATTCAGGCATTGGAAATGATCCTAGGGCAAGTGTTCAGGGGCACTCAAAATYGCCTTTGCATTTTGTTAACAGGCTGACAAAAAGGCCCTTTTCTAACTCTGATTCAACTGAGGCCACAAAACAATGGGTGTCTGGTGCTTCCACATTCCAGAGTGAGAAACCAGGCAATCAGAGACAGCCTTCAAGGAACTGGCTGAGAACTGGTTTGGGATGCTTATGTGAACACTGCTTCCTGTCTGTCTATAAGAGATTGGACAAGTGGAAATAAGCTTTATGTGGAAAGAAAGGTGCATGTGCTGTGAGTCTCAATATATGGGCTGTTTCCYTCTCATTATCTGGCCAGCAGCAGGGGCTTCAACAGACCAATCAGCAGGCCTGGTCTGTGTCCCATGGGCTTGCTGGATACAATGGTCCATGCCACACTCAAAAGCTGAGTAATCTGGAAGCAGAAATGCTGGTTGAAGGGGGCTACAGGTATGGCTGGGAAGAAACTATTTGACTGCAGATGGCCKGCAAAGGTGGATCAGAAGTAGGCCCATAGGCAGAGCTGGCTCCAGRTTGTGTTAGATAGCCCCCAGGGAGGTTAGGGGACAGGGAAGTCCTAGAAGAATGGTGCTGAGGATGGCCTTCCATTTGAGGTTTCCAGTCCAAGGACACGYATTCTCTAGCTTCAAGGGATTATGGGGAAAGATCAGATTGAAAGGAAAGGTGGGGTTGGGTAAAAACTAAGAAAAATGCCAGAAGCATTCCATGAGAGAGAGCATCAGTCTGCTGCCTGGCCAGAGAAATCAACACCAGATTACCTCTGCTACTSCAACCCTGGAGGGTTAGGGAGCTGCAAATAGGGAGCTGACAGCAGGGGTGGGAGCAGGAGAAGCACTAGTTCTGGAAACAGAAACCACCCATGTTTCCATCCCACCGCAACCATGCTGTTTGGAACAGACCTGATCAGGTGGAGAGACTCTGATGTTACACGACACTCAGAATTTGTCAAACAGGGATGGATATTGAAACACTGAACACTTAATATAAAGAACAATCGGTTTCTGAAAACCAGATATTCAGCATCAAAAAGTTAACCAAATGTTAACGTTAAAATATTTCATATTATTTTAAATAAGCAAGTTATAATGTATTACATATTAGTCACAACCCAAACCAGTCTTCTAAAATATAACTAAATTGACTGTCCTAAAATTCCCCAAATTATAACTAAATACATTCATTACACACATCTACATGAGTACATACACATGTAATGATTATGTGGGGACGGAAACCTTCAAGACACTGCTTCCTGGTCACCAGATAATCAATAGAGTTGTCAGCAAATAGTTGTTACATACATAGGCTGTGATGTCTTTCTGCAACAGTGACATGCAAGACACAACATCCCTTTTGTGGACTCTCAGCAGCTTTCAAAGCTTTTCCACAAGATCCTAACATTTGACAAATTCTATTTGAAATGTAACTTAAGGYTTTCCCCATACATTGACTTGTCTAAAATATCATTTTGTGGTTGGGCAATGTAAATACACACAGAAGTGCCTGGAAATGTATTAAAGGATATGTGTGTTTCATGGAGTTTAGACATGAAAAATAAAGAGGCATTCTAACCCACCATCCTCTAAAATCAACCAGAAAGACCTGAAATGAAAGAAGCAAGTGAAGGGACTTTTTTGAAATAAAGAAAAGTCWCGGGACCTGCCCTGGATTTTATCCAACCAGAGCTTCGAAGAGTAGAACAGACAGAGTGGAGGACGGAAGAGTGGTTTTCTGAATGAACCCCTAAGAGTCCTGCTTACAGAATATTTGCTCACTGTTTACAGAGCCAGATTAAACATTGTGCCAATCATGATGCAAAGCTGGTATCTCATATTTACAATATACTTAAAATTTCATTGCTTTTCAACAATATTACAGGAAATTACTCTTTATGGAGGACAAATCTTTTTAAAAGTCATCATTGCTATTTTTTTAATATTTATTTTTTAGTTATAGATGGACACAATATCTTTATTTTATTTTTATGTGGTGCTGAGGATCGAACCCAGTGCCTCACACATGCTAGGCGAGCGCTCTACCTCTAAGCCATAACCCCAGCCCATGATGCTTACTATATATAGTTTTGTTTAACTTCTACTCTGGAGTTCAAGAAAATCCAAAGTAAGTGCAACTCAACATAAAGCTTTAAAAACATTCTATGGCAAGGTTACCTTAAAATGTGATTCCTTCTATTAATTCCTAAAATCTGTATCTATGTCCATTCTTTCATTCAAAGTAAGCCTCTATCCTGGTAGTTGCACACATGTTCTTCAGTAGCCTGTAATTGCTAAAGTCTAAGCCGTAACTTGGCTTTTAGGTCTCAGCAGGTAATTTATTTCTTTCTCAGAGTTTTTTTTTTTTTTTTAACTTCAATAAACCTTTGCTTATGGACATGGGAGTGCTCTTTAGGAAATGAAAATGATTATTTGTTACTATTTAGAAGTAGCAGAGGACAGTAGAAAATTCCTTTTTTCAGTATTTCATGAAGCCAGATAATATAACATTGCTGCCTCTTTGAATTGAAAAGAATGCTTAAAATATCAAAGTGACACATTTCAGGTTTGAAAACAGATCCTACAGTAATTGAAGATCCAAAGTTGGGGAAAAAAATCTATGTAACTACAGACTTCTCTTCATAACTGCAYTATAGGTACTTGCTATTAGCATATAACCTAAAAGTGACATTGACTGAATTGACACTTATGCCCAAGTCTTTGCTGCCCAAATGTAAGCTTGAGTTATACGCTTACAGCTAGTACCTACATGCAATTATGAAGATATACCTGTAGTTAAGTAGATTTTTTTCCCTGTCTTTGGATCTTCAATTGCTGTCATATCTGTTCTCAAACTTGAAACTTGGCAGTTTCAGAAGGTCTGTTACAGAATACAAACCATGCCATTTCATAGGTTCTTCTCTTTTCTGAATCTTAGGCACAATCATTTTATTAAGAAAAACTATTTGAAAGTAGGAAGGAGCACAATTGGAGGTCTYCTCAGCTTTGTGATCATGACTGCACCTGTCTGTGTAACTGAGATCAGGGATGGTCACCCTTCCGGAGTGCATCAAATCTAAGGCATCAGCATGTCTTTTGAAAAAGGAATTGGGCATCTTAAACTATCTTCAATGAAGAGCATAATATGAAAAGAAAGGGACAATAACTGGCTGGTTAACTCAATTCACCTTTCTAAATTATGATATTGTAGATTCTAGGGAAAAACTTGGAGAGGAACTGTCAAAAGAAAAAAATTTTCAAGGGAAACATTATGTCTTACAGTAATTAGCATCTATGTGTACTGTACTAAGCTATTCATTAAGCAAGAAACTTATGGTTTCCATTTTGTAATCCTTGGACATTCAGGCACATTCCTTACCCTGAGAAATTTTTTAAAAATTTATTTACATGTTATGTAATTTACTATGTGAATTGTATGCATTTATAAATCCTCCTTCCCATGGTAAATTATGAGGAATATATAATACTTGTCAGAGTACTACTGCTGAGGATGTGGAGACACAGGACAGATATTTAGCAGGAGCTGTGGCTAGCAGGGACAGAGGGAGTGAGGAATGGTGCAGGAAGAGCCTTCAGGAGCAGAGTGCTTGACTCACCTTGGCCATTTGAGCCTGAACCCCACTAGCCTTCAGGGCCGACACGGCTTTCTGAGCTGCTGCAGGACTGTCGAAGTCAACAAAACCATAACCTGAAATGCAGATCACAGTTTTTATTAAGTCATTATTTTATGATTATGTGAAAAGTAGAAGAATGACTCTACTTTGTCTCTGCTCTGACAAAAGAAATGGAAAACACCATGAAAGGACACAGGTGTTCACAGCCGCAGTGCAGTGACATCCTCAATTCTTCCTCCTGGTGGTCAGTCTGAGCCGGACAAGCCTCCCTTCCCAGTGTGTGTGCCGTGTGGAGAGGAGAACTGGCTTTGTCCCATGCAAGATCTTCTTAGGTGTCCTATGGTTACTATGAAAACGATGACATCTCAGTTGCCAACCAAAGTTAGAAAAGGTGGGGAGGGGGCAGGAAACAACTTCAGAGAAATACTGCTTTTAATGATGTGGTAATGAAGATAAGAGCCATCCCACTGGGCTGACAAATGACAGCAGCAAAAATTATGTTGTTTCTTCTTTATTTTTTGGTACTGGGTATTCAACTCAGGGATGCTTTACCACCGAGCTACATCTCCAGGCCTGCCCTCACAACCTTTTATTTTATTTATTTATTTTTTTTGAGACAAGTTCTAAGTTGCTTAGGTCCTTGCTAATTTTCTGAGGTTGGCCTTGAACTTGCAATCCTACTGCTTCAGCCTCYGAAGTTGTTGGGATTACAGGTGTGCGCCACCATGCCTGGCAAAAATTATGCTTATTCTGTAGAACCTTACTTTTCAAAATTAAAATAAGTACCAACATCAGATACCCCAAATATAAGATAACCTAAATTTTGGTAAYTGGTTAAAAGTACTATTTACCTAAAATACAGCTCATTGTATCTCTTCAAAAGAAAGAGGGAAAGAAAATGCTTCCAGATACCTAAAATATTTGAAGCAGTTCATGCCCTAAAGTCTAAAACCAAAATGCAACATACACAAAAACAAATAACCACCTATAAGAGGTTGTGGTCTAAAGCTTATTTATCCATAGGTTCACATTTTTAACAAGCTGGTCATCTGTTCTCTCAGGCCACAAGAAATCATAGCAGAAAATTAGTCAAAAAGGGGTTCTGATGAGGATAGGGCTACAAAGCAAGCACATGGATGAAGGCACCTAGCTGTGAAAAACCACAACAAACAATAAAAGAGAAAAGTTGAACAAAGAGCCGGACTTCCACAGCATACRAGCAAGCAGCCCCATGAATCTCAACAGATCCTGAGAGCACGGCTGTATTAAAACAGAGAATTGTAGATTTTCTTTCAGTCTGGTAACTCCATGATTGAGGGAAGGTTGAGTTATATTTAGTATACTGTTTAAAGGAACAGGATTCCAAAYGAAGTACCAGAGTCTCCCTTGGAACTCATATCAATTATTATAAAATTAATTTCAAAGTAAATACATTTTGAAAAAGGAAAGTACCTTGTGGAGGTTGTGTGGAAGGGGAGTCAGTCTGTCACTGATTTCCACATATTATGAAGAAATGATATGTAATTGAGATAGCATGGTGCTAGTGTCAAAATAGACAAACACACAACAATGTGGTCAAAGAGAAAGCCTCAGAAACAGTCTAGTTTGTAGCACTGGTACCAAAAATATTGCCTGGTAACAAAATAAGTTGTAATGAAATAGAGTAGAGAGACTATCGATTACAGAGAGATGTTTCAGGAGAGATGAATGTTAATGCAGCTTCCTTGTAGTACTTAGAATTGGACTGAAATTGTGCCCAATTTGATTTAGACAATAGTGAAATAGCCAGGTTGAGGAAAAGAAGAGGAGGCTGATCGAGGCCAAAGTAGAGAATGCTACTCAACTGCTAGGTTAGAGATCAGATTAAATGTATTTTGGGTGTTATTGAGAAATTTGCTGTTAATGCTGACTTATCGTATTCTGAGGATGGATGCACATGCATGTGTGCACTCTTCAGCAGGTCATAAATGAACACATGGCCATGACCATCAAATGACATAGCTTCTATTAGTGGCTGTTTAAAGTTTTCCACCAATTTTGCTATTTGCAATAAATAACAATAAGCAGGTATTCTCAATTTCTGCTCCTACCTTAGCTTTTCCTGTTGGTCTGATTATTACATATATAATCTCCAACCTCTTGGTCTGATCTGCCCTCACCCTTTCTGATTACAAGTGTGTGTGTTCTGGTCCATGTGCAGCCACGTATGAATGATCAGATACATAATCAATCCCTTGGAAGTTCTGCCCTGAACCGCCACATAGAACCGTGTTGGTAAATCTTCAAATCTCTCTTGTTGGCCAAATTCTGACAGAAACTGAAACATTAAACAATTGAATTTTCAATAACTAAGGCACATGTTATTCAGATTTGATATATCCCTTAGCTTAATTTTGTCCAAAGAGGCTCCAAAATATGATTTATGACAAAATGTCCTATGACCTTTTATGAATTTTTATTTCCATGCTTATAATTCTCATATTTAATCTCTAAAAATTAATATATAATACAAGCACCATTCATTTATACTAATGCTCTATAATCTCATGTATTAATTTATCTATATCCACCTCTCAATCAATCTATCCTATATTTAYCTACCTACCTACCTATCATTGTAAGTTGCTTTGGGTAGCATGTCATCTAACTTTATTATGAGCTAAATTACATGTTATTTCTTATTTGTCTTAACATTATTAACGTTTTTTTCCCCCATAAACTCTCTCATTCTGCTTTCCTATTCTTACCTCTACCTCCTTTCCAAGGTATCTGCTGGCATCAAGTGCTGGGAAGTTTGCTCAAGGCAGAGCCCTGCAGGGTCTCATCACTGCCCACACAGTGGCAGTGTCTCCCCAAGCCCAGGTGACGGGAAGCTCTCCAGGGGACTTGTACGTACAGTCAGTTCTGAATTACAACCTCCCTTTCTTTGGAAGCCCCATAARCCTCTTCACTTATCTGTGGACCCATTCCAAATATTAGGGCTATGCATTATAATAATATGGGAGATGTAGCATTAGTTAATTTGTACCCATACCCTTTCTAAATCATGATGGGCACTGTAGAGTGTTGGCTTCCAGGAAATAGGCTGTCATTGGAGAAGAGTGTACAGTGGTGGTTTTGCAACCAGAGGACTCTGGGTCCTCTCCCTCACTTAACTAGGGCAGCTCTGCTTTGCAGCAAACTGAACTGCCTTGTAAGATTTCTTGTTAGGCCAGGAAGAAAAGGAGGGGGAGGTAGGATAAGGCCAAAACCACTTATCTACTGCAATGTCTCTCTTGGTTTGAAACTGTTGATCAGTTTCCTGTTTTATGCCGGCAAGTCTACTTTTTATAAAACCAAATTTTTTTTTTTTTTGCGTCTCTGTTCTCCCAAATCATTTATAAGTGTTAAATAAGATAAATTGTGGCAACTAAGTGTATGTATTTGAGTCTACAAGTTAACTCTCTCTAGTTTAATTTATTTTAAATATTTATGGGGTACTACTCTACATAAAGCACAGTCCCAACACAAAATTGCCTTAATGTGCCATGTTGATTAAACATGGGCTTAKATATTTGTCACAATAGCTCCTTTAAATCTAGGCACTTTGAAGAAGAGACAGAAATACAATGGACCACTTCAAGTCTAGATTAAAGGAAATGGCTGGCTTAAGAGGAGAGGCCCTACTATAGGGTTCATTTATGTTCTTCGCCTTTTTCAAATTGTACTAAGCCACTGCCCCGTCACCACTACTTGAAAAACTAGGGTCTAATTAATGAGGAGATTTGCCTTCTCTGCCTATTCCTGTCAACCTTATTTCAATTCATGGGGTCAGTAGTTAGATTCAAAGTCAGCTGACTCCATTCTTTCCTTTTCCTAGAAATCACATGCCTATTGTTAAGATGCTGGATCATTAAAAGTCAGAAGCACAGAGCATCCGAGCTGCCTACTGCAGACGCCTCCTCTTCCAGCTCATGGAGTTGGATGAGCTCATCCTAATTACACGGAAAACTGAAGGTCAGTGCATCAAATTAATGCAGCAGCATATTTCAAAGGGGTGCATGACCTCCCCTCCCCATTACAATTTGGTCAGTGAAAATGGTTCTCTCCTCCCCGCTGCCAATATTGTCAACAGGCATTCAGCAGAGAACAATTGGGAGTATTGAAACATGTAATTAAGTACTGCTTAAAACTACTCTATTCTAATTAATAGAGCCAATTTGCACAATATGTAATCTTTTCAGTTCTTTAGTACAGTCCAATGGTCTTCAGTAAGCAGCTCTAATCTCCTCAGGCTCAAGAAAGAAAAGCTATTTTCTAAACTCTACTCCCCTTTTAAAAGTAGGGGCTAAATGCCAACTAGTATTTTGCATGTTAACTCTACTGGCGCCAAATCTGGAAATCTGGCAAACTGCAAGTTGCTGTTGAGTTTCCAGCCAAAACCCAAACCAGGGACAAAACAAACGTAAGCAGTGTGCTAATGTTGTGCAAGACAGAAACTGGGAGACACATGAGATTTGATTTTGAATAAAATGGGGGGTAATCTGGTAACCTAAGATCAGATTCAAAATTCCATCATTTTTCAAAGTTATGATTTAGCAAATATTCAGCCACGAAAACATACCTTTGCATTTGTTCGTTGTCTTATCCAAAATTGCCTTTGTGGAAACTATTTTCCCATATCTGAAAAAGAAAGAAAAAAAGTTATAAAGAACTCTTATTAATGTCTAAATCTAAAGAACATGCATACTTTTCAAACACCTGCAAACTTTAAAGTACAAAATATTCTTTACTAAGTGGCAAGCCGTGGAAATTCTAAATTCAACCCTTAACTAAAAACAGGGAACGGCCAGTCTTCCCTTCTGAATCTTTGGGTTACAGTTTGATGTTTAGCTTTGAAGAACGGGTACTTATCTGACAATCTTGATATAAAAACACAGGAAATATATTCTGTGAAAGTATTTGCTTCTACCAACACTATGTCTATGGTCAAATACAAGTCTGTAGAATTATTGAAGTTCTATGAAATAATAATGGTGGAGAGCTGCTGCATTCTTCTATGCCTGGTGATTCCACAGCCAGTGCTGCACAGAACATCACAGAGGGCTGGTGGGCCTGTGTGTAAGTTTAACACACTTAACAATAATAAAATAGGTCTTTTCATTTTTACTAAAGACTTCTGTCATTATCCATAAATTATTTACTAATGCTACTTCTAACTCTAATAACAATACAGTACACTAATATGCGTGCATGTAACATGTGTGTAAGAAATGGATAATCAAGAATATAAAAAATGCGCCAGGGATTAATCATTCATTTTATGAGGGTGTGTATGAGAAATATGTTCAAATTCCTTAATGTGCTATAGATGAAGGGGGAGATGGAAAAAATGCAGAACACTAAAATTTAGTGCACGCCTACTGAAAATGAAGAAATTGTATAACTTAATTATGTGTATCTCACCCCACACCCTCTGAGAGCACAAACTTTGAGAAAAAGCATCATTGACTATGCTTGTCTTCTGAAAAATCGAGGGGAAAAAAATCTTTGATTTTTAAGAAATTTTTTTAAGAAGTATTTTTCAAAGTAAAACTTGGGGAAACACATATCTTACTTCATGTATCTGAATTGCAAGTTTCCTCATTTGTACGTGGTAAATTSCAAAATTCTATTTTCTCACAAGTTAACTTTAAAATAGTCTCACATTTGGTTTCTTATACCTTTCTCATGATTGATTTTTGAGGACTAAAGCAAGTTTTTAAATTTCTAGGAAACCCAAGTATCTGTGCAACATGTTAAACCACCTTGAATATTGTAAACATCTATTTTATACACATTGAAACCAGCTGACATGTATTCATCTGGAAAAAACAAATGGCTTGAGCCACCTCACTCCTCCAGTTAATTTTCCTTATTTTCATTCTGTGTAATCATGTAGTCAGATGATTACTAACTAGGCATGAAAGTAAAGATAATTTAAGGTTCAAATGTCAATTACAACCGAGAGACATAATGGTGCACAAACACCTTCAATTCCCTGTAGAGATTCTGAGTATATATAACAACATTAACACAGATCACTAAGCTTACTCAAAATAATTTTAGAAATCCACAAATGATAAGACTAAGTAATTTAATCTTTTAGCAACCATCTATCTACCTAGGTTATATGCTTGATAACTTACCAGCACTCTCATTTGCACAAGTCTACAATGAAAGCATTTTTAGATTCTATCCCTGCACACACTTTTCCAAAAGCAGGGGAAAATGCTGGTATGATTCCAATTTAGAAGAGGGAATTGAGAGTCACAGAGATTCAGAGACTATGCCTGAGGTCACACGGTTCAGAGCCCTTTGTCAACCTAATAGAAAAGGACATTCAGAAGATGACAAGGTTGGCCTTGTACCCTCTGGTTATGCTTTCCAACATTTAATGATGGGAAAGATAGGGACAGACATGAGGTGTGGGAGTAGGAAAAGAAGAAAAAGACTCTTGGTAGCACTGATACTCAATCCATGTTAYATACTCTTCTGCTTCTGGCTCTCTCTGACCTCTGCTACATGTGACATGAGTGCTTATGTCCGAGTCTCTGCCAAGTGTACCTTTCTCTTTGCCTCTGGGCCTGGTACCCAGGTGTGCATCACATTTCACTTTTCTCTGCTCTTTTTCAGGGACTCTGTGTCCATTCAAGTTCCTCCTCTCTTTCATTAGCTGAAAACTTTCACCAAATTTAATATTTGTTCCTCAACACTTCCTTCCTTTGGAAAATTTACCTAGTGCTACAATTGTAAGTAATGAATCTCTTCTGATGATGCCCATTTCTCCTTCCTACTCTTTTGCTTTTAATCCCATCAAAACTTAGTTTTTTTTTTGTCTACACCTTTTAAAAATATCTTAATGTTTCATTAAGATACCTAAATATCTAGTTAAATATCATCTCATGTCCATCATTTCACAAATTCTATCCATGCCARCATCCCAAACACATCTCTCCTGTCTCCTCTCCGTATCTCTTTGTACCCAATAGCATAGTTACTCTCCCAATCGCCCACCAAGCTCAGGGTCCTTCACACAGCATCAACTCAATCATTCCTCCATCCATTCAGTCAATAATTCTTCTGAGTTTTGTCTTTGATATGTTTCCAAAATGTATTCCTTCCTTAAAYCATGTCTAGATTTTTGCAAAAAGCACTGAATAGTTTCTCCATGCCTCTGGCTTTCCAAGAGGACTTGTCTGCTGCATTAACTTGCCTCAAACACCACTTTAAACCCTTCTCTACCATCTTTCTATTACTCCATTCCACCCATGCTTGATTTTGAACTATCTGTTCAAACACTATCTTTTCCATGAGAGCACTACTAATTTCCTCAATCATTTGGCTATTTTATAAGAAACCAAAAGGGGATTATATTTATTGAGTTATATTCATGGCACTGTGCCAGGTACTCTGCATGTGTGATGTTATTTAACTTCTCAATCTATGAGGTTAGGTGKTGTTATTCCTATTTTTGCAAATGGGTAAACAAAAACTCATAGAAGTTTTGAATCGAAGATCTTACCTAAAATCCCAAAGCTCAAAAATGAACAGTATCCAAGTTCTCATTGTAATTTATCTATAAAATTTCCTCGAGGAACAATGTTTCCTTTTTGCTCTTAGTAGGAGAAAAGAAAAGATGTTCTCTTAGACTACTATGGATTGAAATGATGTACTTTTGAAGCCTAAGCAATTTTTCAATCTTAAGAAATAAAATGTGGCTCATGATTGAATGAAGGATAAGGAAAGAGAAAAGAAGAGAGATTTCTGAAATTTATCAGTTTTATTTTCCTTGTGGTTTCCATCATGATTTGTGGGTTAAGACTGAGAAAGCATGATTTCACAGAAAGTTAGAAAACAGTAATCTCTCTGTCCATGCTGGCTTCCTCGAACAAGAGGAGCAGGAAGTTGCTTATTTGGAGTTACCTGGAGGTGTTGAAAGGCTTTCTGCTCAAAAAATATCTTCTCTTTTGAGCTGTCCACTCAGTCATACTTCTCACAAGCAAAAGGCTCCCATCAAAATACAGACCCCAGAGCTGGAGGATGAAACACTAAATCACTCAGGCCCTGGTTAGCTCAGTAAATGAGTCAGTCACCTCATTATGAGAACAGAGTGTAGAACAAGTGGTTCTGATGGCAGAAGAAAAGGGCCAGGAAAGATCCAGGCTATGGAGAAGAGCCATCAATCAAATGGCATCTTAAGGAACAGGATAAGGGGTGTTAGGCTACAGTATTGTCTGGTCTCCCTCTGCAGAGGGAGAGAAAGCATCTCTCCTTGCTAGTTTTACATGCAATAAGATTTTACAATGGGAAGAGCATTATAGAGAATTAACATTTAGTCTAATTCTATTGTCAATCATCAATGCCTACAAGATTAACAGACATCTGGGCACAAATTCATAAAGTAGCCAGATTTGCACCTCCCCTTGTTCCTATCTGCAGCTTAATTTGTTTAAGAAAGCCATTATGAACAAACAGGGACATACACGTACTGGGGCAAAAAGGTCTCCTCACCTGCAGAATTCACACTCTAAGGACCCTAAGGAGGTGCATCCCCAAGAAAGCAAGTGGTAGAATTTTATGGAAATAAATGTGTCTATAAAGATTSTTTGGGTTTTATCCAGCTTCAAAGTAACAAGGCTCGGATCAGCGCTCGCTACCCAGATTACAATATTCTTTGCTAAGAGTAGATAATCCACTCCAGAGGAAGCTCTGGCAGTAAAAGGATAAAGAGTAATTAAGAGACATGATTGTAGAATAATTAGAATTTCAAAGGGAGAGGATAACAAGTAAAAACTCACACTTAGAACTATTGGTCCAAGTGAACATGGCTGATAAAACCTTTTGCTAGAATCTACTAATTTTTTTTTTTAAGTCTGCACCACAACTTTTCTTATTTCTTTCCCTTTCCATTTAATCTCCTCTTTCATCTGCTATCATATAAAATCAAATATATTTTAGTTTGTATCTATTAAAATAAACTAAATTTTCTCCTCTACCCCCTTTACTTAGTTCCTCCTAAATTCTACCTTTCTTGTTAATCTATTTTAATTGTGAAAGTAATGCATACAGTTGTCATTAGAAGACACAGAAAAGAAGATGAAAAAACTAAAATCACCTAAAGTCAGATAAGAACGTTGGTGCATGTCCTTAGAGATTTTACCTAGTGTGTGTGTGCAAACATGTGTGAGCACATGTTCTCTCTCCCTACTTCTCTCCTTCCCTCCCTCCAATTAAGGAACTAGCAGTTTTTTAATGTTCCCAGTGAACCAAGGCTCTGCAGAGCGGAGTCCACTCCAACCTCCACCAACAGATGGCGATAATGGTCGATAAATTATTTTAATTTTAACACTGGTCATTTCCGTTGTAAAATTCATTTAAGGCATGCTTGCAGTGTTTGTGTTACATTTGGAATATTGTATGAACATTATTAAACCTGAAAAAGCACTGAGTGTGTTAAAAACAAATGTAAGAAAAAATGTATACTCGTAAACATAAAAGGACACTTCCAAGTTTGGGACAGGGCCAGATATTGCTCAAGCCCAGAGGGTGGTGATTTTTGTTTGTTTTAACAGAAGTGCTCCTGAAGGACAAAGAGGGACTCATGCATCTCATGAGCTGTGCCAGTGCAAATGATGATGCTC